CCCCGCCCCCGCCCCGCCCCTTCTGACCTTCCCGGAGGGTCCTCCGCCGCCCACCGCTCTGTTTACAAGCCCTGCGCGCTCCGGGAAGACGCAGCGCTCTCGCGAGAGGCGGGCAGGGGAACGCCTCCTCCCCTCCGCCCGGGCACGGGGGTCGCCGGGAGTTGTAGTCCCGTACGTTCCTTCCGCACTCGGCCACGCCCCTCCCACCCCCACGTGACTCCGCCGCAGCCCTCGCGGCCCCCACCGGACTACGAGGCCCACAATCCTCCGAGCTCCCCCCGGGTCTCCCCGCCCCCCCGACCCTCCGCTGCGCGCGCACCCCGGCCCGAGTCACCTTGATCCCGGCGCCAGCGGAGCCGGTATGGCGACGTCGGCGGGGGCGGCGAGTGTTCCGGGGAAGCCGAAGACCTCGCCCAAGTCCGTCAAGTTCCTCTTCGGCGGCCTGGCCGGGTGAGCCCCCCGGGGTGGGCAGGGCGGTGCTCCCGGGAGGAGACCCCCGCCCGGTGCGACCCCCAACTCTACCTGCCCCCCTTTCCCCCCCTGCAGGATGGCGGCCACGGTCTTCGTGCAGCCGCTGGACCTGGTGAAGAACCGGATGCAGCTGAGCGGGGAGGGCGCCAAGACGCGCGAGTACAAGACCAGCCTGCACGCCGTGGGCAGCATCCTCCGCCAGGAGGGGCTGCGCGGCATCTACACCGGGTGGGTAGGGGGCGCAGATTGGGGGAGTGCAGGGGGAGGGGTGCATGGCACGGTTTGCACTGCGAGGGGGGGGGGAGGCGCGGGAGGAGAGGGGGCAGGGCTGGGGGGGAAGGCAGGGGTCTCACAGCCGGTCTCTCCCCCCCCCACACCCCCAGCCTCTCAGCGGGGCTGCTCCGCCAGGCCACCTACACGACCACCCGGCTGGGCATCTACACCGTCCTCTTCGAGCGGCTGACGGGCCCCGACGGGACGCCCCCCGGCTTCCTCCTAAAGGCGCTCATCGGCATGACGGCTGGCGCCACGGGGGCCTTTGTGGGCACCCCCGCCGAGGTGGCCCTCATCCGCATGACCGCCGACGGCAGGTGCGTCCGGGGGCCGGGAGGGAGCTTGCCTTCCCGGGCTGGGGAGCGGGGCGGCGGGGGCAGCGGCTCCTCTGGCTCCCTTCCTCCCTTTCTCGCAGGCTGCCCCCCGAGCAGCGCCGCGGCTACAGCAACGTCTTCAACGCGCTGCTGCGGATCACCCGCGAGGAAGGCATCCCCACGCTCTGGAGGGTAGGCGGGGCTGGGGTGGCCTGGGGAATAGGAGGGAGCCCCGATGGCCTCTGGGGGGCCCTGCCCAATTCCCCTTCCCCTGCAGCAGGAGCACCTGCCCAGCCCCTCCCCCAACTCC